TTACCCAGAGAATCTTTCAATAACGAAAGTCGAGGCTTGAATTATTTCTTCAGTGTCCCATGCTTGAGAAATGCTGAACGTGTTCTTCCTTTTTGGTTTTCTGATTCCAGATCTTTGCACATTTTATTATAATATTTGGCTTTATCTTCTACAATTGATCTTTGAAATTTTCTGTTCAGCTCTTAGACCTCCACATTTCTTCCATTTGCTTTAGCATCTCTATACTGGAGAGCAAGTTTCAGGGTCTCTTCTGACATCCATTTTAACCTTTTCCTTCTTTCTAATGACTTTTTGTTCTCTTTACGTATGATGTTCTTGATGTCATCCCACAACTCTTCTTGTCTTCCGTCTTTAGTGTTTAATGTGTCAAATCTGTTCTTCAGATGATCTCTAAATACAAGGGGTATATATTCAAGGTTATATTTTGGCTCTCGTGGACTTGTTTTCATTTTCTTCAGCTTCAGTCTGAATTTGCATCTGAGTAATTGATGGTCTGTTCCACAGTCTGCCCTGACCTTGTTTTCACTGGTAATATAGAGCTTTTCCATCTTCTCTTTCCACAGATGTAGTCAATTTGATTTCTATGTATTCCATCTGGTGAGGTCTTTATGTGTATAGTCATCTGTTATGCTTTCTAAAGAAGGTATTTGAAATGAATAAATCATTGGTTTTACAGAATTCTATCATGCATTCTACAGCATCATTTCTATCACCAAGGCCATACTTTCCAACTACTGGTCCTTCCCTCTTTGCTCCCAACCTTTACATTCCAATCACCAGTAATGAGCAATACATCTTGATTGCATGTTTCATTTATTTCAGACTGAACAAGTTAGTAGAAGTATTCTATTTCATCCTCTGTCTTTAGTGGTTGGTCCATAAATTTTAATAATAGTGGTATTAATTGGGTTTTCCTGTAGTTGCATGGATATTATCCTATCACAAACAGCATTGTACCTCATGACTGACCTGGATATGTTCTTTTGACAATGAATTCAACACCATTCCTTTTCAATTTGTCATTCCTGGAATAGTAAACCATGTGTCAGGTTCAAAATGGCCAATACCAGTCCATTTCAGGTCACTAATGCCTAAGATATCGATGTTTATGCATTCCATTTCATTTTTGACAACTTCTAATTTTCCCAAATTCATACTTCGTACATTCCATGTTCCAATTTCCTCTTCATTTTGAGTTGTGCCCCATCAGCAAATGAAGGTTCTGTGGGCTTTTCTCCCACAAGCTTAACTCCATTCACGTCATCATGGTCAGCTCTACTTTGAGGAGGCATCTCTTCCCCAGTAGCATTTTGAGTGCCTTCCTAGATGGCGGATTGGATAGACATGCAGTGAGGAGCTCCGTCACCAACAACACAGAATACTGGGCAAAGCAGGCTCAGGGGATGGTGCTAAAACTCTGAATCACATATAAAGGAATATTTATAAGATTGGAAGGCTTACAGCTAGGGGAATTTGTAGGAGAATCAAGAAATCCACTGCTTTCTAATTCAAGATGCTCAGCTATTCCTGGAGCCACCATCTTGGGAGAGAACAGTGGGGGAAGGAGCAGAACAGTGACAAACGCCTGACAGAACCGAGGAGATACAGGTGTGGACATTCTTTTGGGGTTTTTTTTTTTTTTGTTATTTGTTCATTGGTCTCTCGTTGACTGCGCACCTCCATTCTGTTAACTAGAGGGGATACCTGAGCGAATAGATATAGATATCCCATCCCCACCCCTGGAGGGGAGGGTTCTACTACGCATTTGCACTTTTGGTTTTATGTCAAAATTTAAACTGACAGTTTCGACATAAAACCAAATGCCCACCACTCGTCTGTCTGTCATACTGTGGTGACTTGTGAGTTGCTGTGATTCGGAGGGCTATGCTACCGGCATTTTAAATAACCAGCAGGGTCGCCCATGGTGGACAGGTTTCAGATGAGCTTCCAGATAAAGACAGACTAGGAAGAGAGAGTGACAAACTACTCCTGAATCTTTAGTCACTGAAAATCTTATGACTAACTGAGAAACACTCTAAATAGTAGTCTTTACAAAATTTTAAGGTGGCCTGGTTAAGGTGAGAAACTGCTTTCCATTTTTACTGTTGTTGTTAACTGCCATCAAGTGGGTTCCAACCCACAGCGACCATGTATAGGGTTTCCAAGGAGTAGCTGGTGAGCTTGAACCACCAACCTTAGTTCAAACGGCTTAGCAGTTTGGTGCATTAACCCACAGTGCCACACCACATGCCAAAAGTTCTGAGCATATAACAGCAAGAATTCATTTTAGAGGATTAATAGACTTGCCAGATTTTAGGAGCTGTCACATACTGAGAGAATCAGAACTTCAGAAATAAATGAATTCTTGGAGCAGAAAAACTGAAGCATATAATTAAATAGAAAACTCGAAGGGGGGTTTACTAAGTAAGGAAAAGAGGGAGGAAAATTACTGAGAAAGAAGACAGAAAATAAAATAAAGAGAATTAGTAATGAAAATCAAGGGTCACAGCACTTCTAAGGAACTGAGATGTGATCAATTATGGAATGGGGAAGTAATAGCTTTATAGTATTCTATCAGATCACGTCACTGCCTCCCATAAAGTCATCTTCCCCATGGCTCTCTTCACTCAGCATTTGAACCAGAGTCCCACCGGGACCCTGATGACTTTCCCTTATCCCCCTACCATTTCTCTGATGTCATAATCTGTACTCACTTTCTCCCCTCTCTTTTCCCCTCTCTCCTCCAGTTAAGCTGGTCTCCATGCTGTTCCTCAGCTACCCCAGCGTTCCTGCAAAGCTCTTCCCCAGAATCACCATGATGCACTCTTTTCAGTGATTTATTCCCATGAGCATATATTATTCAACATGGCTGTGTTTGGTTGGTGTGTGCTGTGGAGTCGGTTCTGACTCATACCGACCCTGTATAGGGTTACCAAGGCTTTAAATCTTTACAGGCACAGAAAGCTTCATCTTTCTCCTACGGAACAGCTGGTAGTTTTGAACTAATGACCTTCAGGTTAGCAACCCAACTCACAACCACTACACTAAACTACAGAGTTTCTTTTAACATGGCATTTAATATGGCACTACCCTATAAATCCCAATCCTCCTTACTTTGCTCTTTTACATACCAGAGTAGAGTCCACCAGCTAACATTTTATCTGAGCAGTCCGATTTGTGTCTTAGATTTGCATATCCAGTGCCAAGAACAGCTGGACACCAAATAGATTCTAGGTAAATATAAGTGAAATCCATAAAGAAGTATTAATTTTTCATTGTTGTTTTTAAATGCCATTGAGTCAGTTCCGACCCATAGCAACCCTGAGTAGGGTTTCTGAGGAGCGGGTGGTGAGCCTGACCACCAACCTTGTGGTTCAAACTGACTATGCAGTACAGCGAATTAACTCACAGTACCACTCCACCATTCAAACAAGGATAATAAAACACTGGTAACTTTTCCAGAGTCATTTTTTCAGCAAGCAAAATATTTTTTTTCCCCTGTATGTATTTCCCAGGTATTTTTTTACTCTGAACATTGTTGCTCTTGTTGTTAAGTGTTGTTGAATTAGTTTTGACTCATAGCAACCCCATATAGGGTGGTTTCCAAGGATGGACTGGTAGAACTTGAATCGCCAACCTTTCGGTTCAAATCGACATTGCACTTAGAGCAGTAACCCACAGCACCACATCAGGACTCCTGAACATTAGTTTTATAATATTTTTAAAGAGGGTCTTGCTTTATTTTTGTAATTCACTATCTATGTGAAATAATTTCAACTAATTCTTCTGCTGAAAAACTGCACATGTCACTGTTTTATCAAAAGTGGGGGGAAAATTCTGGGGTATATTTTAATATTCCAAGTGTCAACAGCAATTAAGTATATACACATACATTCTGTGAGTCACTAGACAACTATCTCCAATGTTAGAGGGGCACATACAGGCAGATGTGTTGGCAAAGGCAGTCTATAAAATGAAGTTGCTCTGAACCAAAACAACCATATTGATTTTTAGTACAATTTTACCCAAAAGGAAACATCAGTTTTCTAAATGACACGAGCCAAAAGGACAAGGAAAAGTATGCTGCAAGTAGTGGAAAGGAAAGGATAATTACATTAGCAAACATCTTAGTGTTGTTTTCATTGTGTGTTTTAAAGGCTCAAAGAACTGAAAAGCAGGAATTAGGGCAGAAATCCTCCACTAAAAACTCAGAGTGTGCATTTATGAACATTGTGCTCACAGCCAGAAGCCTGGGTGTCCCGAAGAAATAACAAAATAAAGCCAGCTAGCCTTTGGAATATCCTCTTCATTGACACATATATATACTCTCTCTCTCACACACACACACACACACACACACACAATCTCTCATACACACAATCTCTGTCTCACACACACACACAATCTCGGTCTCACGCACACACACAATCTGTCTCACACACACACATAATCTCTCTCATACGCACACACAATCTCTCATACACAAGCACAATCTCACATACATACAATCTCTCTCACACACACACACACAATCTCTCTCAGAAACACATACAATATCTTTCTCACACACATAATCTCTCTCTCATGCACACGCACAAGCTCTCTCACATATACACACAATCTCTCTCTCTCTCATGCACACACACAAGCTCTCTCACACATACACATAATCTCTCTCTCATGCACACGCACAAGCTCTCTCACACATACACATAATCTCTCTCTCATGCACACACACAAGCTCTCTCACACATACACACAATCTCTCTTTCACACACAAATACACACACAATCTCACTAAAACATACACACACAAAGAATCTCTTCCTTTGCCCTCTCTAATGACAGAACTGTCTAAATTGCATTATAAACACATCATTTACTAAAATGGTTGACGTAAGCAAATATTTCCCTTCGATACCATAATGAGATGAAGCACTTTTTAGGCCAGAGACCCCTGAATGGAGGCTCAGGTCCAGCAGAGCTCAGTCAGGACTCACCATGGCGCCCTCACTTCTCCTTTGGGCAACTTCTCGCTGCAGTTGGGCCACAGCCAACTTCTCCCTAGAGAAACAAAAGCACATGATTAGATGATTATTCTTCTCAGGGTAGAGACAGACCATGCTGGCGTGACTTTGAAATGTTCTTTTGAAGCCTCCAGAGGAACTCCTTCCTTGGTTGAGCTCACTTCCTCCACAATCCTTTTTATAAATATTTAAAGTGATTGATCATTCGTGCATTGTTTTCTTCAAGTGTCACGGAAAAGACTTTTGTGTCTTGGATTTCATATAATAATATCTAAATAAGTATGTAATGCTGAACAAAAGCTTCACTTTAAATTCACTGGTGTATTTGTCAATACATTTTTCCATGACCAACCTATTTCAGTTGTCATTTCTGCAAACTTTGCTTACATTTTTTCAGTTACTTTTCTTTCTTTCTTTGCTCCCTATGCCCATAGAGGCCCTGGTGTGGCGCTGTAGGATAAGCACTGGATTGATAACCACAAAGTTTGGGATTCAAACCCACCAGCTGCTCCACAGAAGGAACCCTATCCAAGGTCACTAGGAGGAGAAATAGACTTGATGGCAGCGAGTTTGGTTTGGTTTATGTCCATACCAAAATCAAAACAAAACAATACTCCATACCATGCTTAAAATAATAAGGTCTAAATTGTTCAGGCTTCTTACATAACAGGCACTATGCTGGACATTTTTACGTGATCTTTATATAAGCATGACAACAACCCTGTAATTAGGTTTTATTATCCCATTTTACAGATGTAGAAACTAAGAATTAAAGAGACTAACTTACCTGAATAAATCTTTAGTTAGTTTACAGTAATAGTATTAGTATCAAATTTTAGGTTTACCTTTACTCCAAACCTTAATAAAATTTCTAAATATCTTTTTGTGGAGTCTAGCAAATCTGAACATGTAGACTTTAAAAATCAGATTCTTTCTATTGGTATTCTTTATTTTACAATACGATTCATTATACATCCCTTCTAATGGTAGTTGTGATTCTACCTACAGAAGAATGAGTATTCATCAGACATTGTAAAAAGTGTCAGGTGATAAATGTCTTCATTTTGAGCCATCCTTTCAGTTATTCTTAAAAGACGTGATTGATGAATGAGGGGATAAAGACACACTTCCCGTAATCCCCAAGTCTCCATTTCATCAGGATTTCCCCATAAGTCCTCTGTCGGTATGAAGATGCTAAAACACATGAGTGGTTATGTCTTGCCCTTGCAGTCCCTTTGTAGAAGACCAGTTATGTGACAACACAGAGGAAGCAGCACAACTACCAGAGGACTGGTGGGATTTCTCCCCTCCAAATGAGCAGAACCTTGAAAATGCCGATGCTTGTCAAGAAGATGGGTGAATTGGTTTGGTTAACGCTGAGCTGCCTGTTAGTAACAACAGCTCTATTGGTATACACATCTAGAGACACAGACTCGATGAAAGGGGTCCAGAAGCCCCTCAGGCAGGACCTGTGCTTGTACTTGGTGGAGAGGGAAGCAAAGCAGATGGAAAGAAGTCACCAATTTGAAAGACCTGAGCCTTTTTGTAGAGAACGCAAGGGGATGCCCACATTGCTGTCTGACAGAAGTCCTGATAAGCAGTAAAAAGGGACAAATGAGAAGAGCACACAAATTCAAAGAGAAAAATATGAGCGAATTCTGGGTTAATGTGGGAAAGTAAACATGTGCATTTATCTCTGCTTCTGTTGTCTTCAGAAGCTATTTAAAAGGCAGGACATGGCTAAGAACATTCAACAGTCATAAGGACAAAGAAAACTAGAGCATCCACTATACAACTCTGCAATTCCACTCCAACATATAAACCCCAACACGTTCACCAAAAGACATCTACTGGAATATTCACAGAAGCACTATTTGTATTAGCTTTAAATTGAAAATGCAGGTATCCATTACAAATGAAATGGATACATGCATACCAGAAATGCTTATAGAGCCAAATATTTGAATACTACAAAACAAAGAAAATGAATCATGCACCAGACTGCAAAGCCTGAACAGCAAGTTCCGCATTTCAAGCTCACAAGCCGCTCCTCAGAAACACCATACAGGGTTGCTAGGGGTTGGAACCGACTTGATGGAACTTAACAACAACAACAATCAGATTCTGGACTCCTGGTGTGGCACTGTAGAATCAGCACTGGACTGCAAACAACAAGAATGGCAATTCAAACCTACCAGCTGCTCCTTGGAAATGCTATACCAGTGGTTAACTGCAAGGCCAGTGGTTAAAATTCACCAGGTACTCCTTGGAAACCCTATA